TCAATTATATGATCCTAAGATCTGTGGATTGAAAGATACTTACAATACTTACAATCTTATAGGTGTCTGAAATTATTTAGCCATATATGTACTCAATTTTTAAGCCCAATTTTTAAGATCATGGAAACAATACTTTCTAAGAACTGTTTATAGGTGAGTTGATGTCCACGTGGCAGAGTATATGTTCTGCCACTGAATGGATCAGATGTGGGGATACCTCCAGGAAGACAAAAAAACAGCACACTGGCTTTTTCAATAAGCCAGGAAAATGGTGTTATTTTAAGTCCCTTAGCATAATACCCAGGCTCCTTCATACAGCACTGGAATGAAACAAACCAGATGGATTCAGCCCTGTTAGTAGGTCATTTCAGGCTTAACAACCTAAAATACATTCAACTCTCACCAACTCAACTCCTTTTTCACAAAGGACTTTAAAGATGAAATGGTTTCCAGTGGGAGATAAGCAACTATGTGCCCTGCAGGGAAGAGGCCTTGTTAGTGGCTATCGGCCACCGCCAACTCAATTCCCCTTCCGAAAAGGCTGACGTAGCTCTGGGGAAAGAAGATACCGGTGGATACAAGATCTATTATTTTTAGCTACGTGCCTTGTCTAAAAGAATTTCATGTTGTCCTTTCCTAAACTAAATTAAAACAGAGCAAAGTTGCTTTATTAAACAAAGACTCATTCTAATCTACTGCCTACCATATGATAAAACAAGGTATTAATCTAACTGTAGTAATGGTGACCCTCATTCAACTACAGCATCAAATCAGGTGATCAGTGGCTGCCAGATGTCACAGGTACCTCCATACATTCTCACCTGAAGAATATGTACACACTCCCCTTCAGGGACTATATCCAAACCTGGGATTTTAAAAAAGCAAATCTATTAGGAGGTATTTTTAATTTTCTCAAATATCTTTCTTACCTGCCCCTGAACCCCATCCTTTCCCAGGCCTCCGTATTGTGATTTTATGTGCAACTGTCATTCCACTTGAAATACTGGCATGCTAGCCATAATAGCATTTCACAGTAAATGAAAGCATATTTTTACAATTTAAAAGAGAACCAGCTTAACCACCACAATAAATTCATATGAGGATTGGCTTCAATTTACATATATAATGATAATTACAAATTTATAATTTACAAATTCCTGCAGAGGTAAATTTGGCAAAACCACCCAGTTTAGAGAACATAACGAGAGACTGCCTCAGTGTGTGTGTAGACACACGGAGGAGGTTATGTGAAACATGGTGAGTTCAAATATTGGGGGGAGAAATCAGAGAAAATGAAGGTACATTTAGATGCAAGGAAAATGAGGGCATTCTGAATATGGCAGTGCTCTAGGGCTTTGGGTAATGGAAGTGATAAGTGAACAGAGTACTGTGTTCACAGGAGGCAAAGCAGAGTAAAATGATGATATAATGACTTTGACAGAGAAGGTCAAGGTGGCAAGACTTTCATCACTTTAATATTTTATCAATGTCTGCAAAACAGTCTGGAACACAGTGTTATGAAAATATTGCTTTTTATCTTGCTCACATCCCAGATAATGAATTTTCAGGAAGGCTCCTTTCATTTCTAGTCTCTTCCTCCTGCGTTATCTGTACTCATGTATCTATAGAGAGTGGTTCATTCACCACTCATTTGCTATGCACATATAGAGCACCTGCTAAGGACAGGCCCCTGGCTAGGAGCTATGGGGAACACAAAGATGAGTAACAGGGCTTATCTGCCCTCCGCAGTGTTCCCATCTACACATAAACCATCACACAACAAAAATACGGGGGCAAAGAGAAGCAGTCACAATTCATTGGGAGGAGTGGACCACAAAACTCATCAAGACTCGTTCTCCCTGAACTTCTGAGCATCAATTTACTCTGCCCTCCCTGGACTACTAGGTTCTCAGAGAACAATACACAAGTGTGCATTTGCCAGCTCACTGAACCGTCAACCTAACAACTTATATATCTGCAGGACAAGAAATGGCTTGTATTCAAAAGTGTTGAAGATAGCCTCAAAATGTAAAGTTTAGGAAGTCCTGAGTTAGGTCCAAAATCCATAATTTAATCCCTGATTGAGTTCATTAATTAGTGAAAATGAGGCATCAGAAAGGTACCAGTCTACAGTCAAATGGTTGAAAATGCTGTAAATTAAACTGTGGATTTATATTTCTGAAATCACTAGGGAATGACAGAAAAAAGTCACTCTAGTGCCTCAGTGTAAAAGAAGGAGAGAAAATACTCATTTCTCTAAGAATACAGAAGGATTAATATTTGAACCTAAGGGAAAGCTGTCCTCTTACGTATTACATGGTCTTGGCAAACATTTAGAAAATAAAAATTTAAGTTAAACACTTCAAATGTCTGTCAAAAATTAATTATCTCACAAAAATACCCCCCCTTTCCACTCCTACATCCATTCCTGCCTCCACTCAGGCAAGCGAATTGAATTTCATTCTTGTTTAATGATAACAGATGGCTTTCACATTAAGCAATCTGAGTTATCTGACAGCAAACAGTACCCTGCTCCAACATTTCTGTTATCTCCTATCAACTGCAAAACCAAAAAAATGACCAATACTCAAACTAGGCAAAGAAAAAGAGAGATACTCTTCTCTTAGAAAATAATTTAAAGTATCAAACTAAAAGACATAATTTCTTGGACATGGGATTTCCAAGTATTCTGATTTAAAATGGTTTTTATATCTGTTAAGCCCTAATTCTTTATTTTTGACATGAGTTTTATATGCTATAGAAGCCTTCCCTCCCACTTGTCTATTCTTCATTTTTAGCCATAGATTGTTAACAGGATTAACAATCCTGTTAATCCAGGATGAATTGTTGAACCAAGAAAGACTATTTCCTCTGAATAGTAGACCAAAGGAAGTACTTCTGGAAGTAGGTAAGTACCTGGAAAATCAGAGAACCCATCAGTACAAGGTGTGGTAACCTAAAATCATCAGCTATGACAGCTACTCTTAACCATACAATGCTGACTTCTTGGGCCAAGGCTTGAAAATAAATAACTTCTAGTCCCTGAAGATAGGAGCCTTCTGCTACAAGATACATTATGTATTAGAAAAATACATATTCTTGGTTCAAAAGCTGTTACTGAATATTCTGAGCAACATGGCAACAAATGCAAAAACTGCATATTGCCAAAAATATCAGTACCTGAAACATCTGTGTTTTTTCCTTTTCAATTCCTATGGCTGACACTTCCCACCTAAACTCCTGGAGTAGCTTTGTCCCAGGATTCTAATAGCCTCCTACTCCATTTCATTTTGCTCTCCATCTTTAACCTGCATGTTCATCCTGTCTCTCTCTCTCTTTTGTTTTGGTGAGGAAGATTGGCCCTGAGCTAACATCTGTTGCCAATCTTCCTCTTTTTTTTGCTTGAGGAGGACTGTCCTTGAGCTAACATCTATGCCAATCTTCCTCCATTTTGTATGTGGGACATGCCATAGTATGGCTTGATGAGTGGTGTGCAGGTCCGCGCCCGAGATCCAAACCAGCAAACCCCGGGGCTGCTGAAGCGGAGTGCCTGAACTTAACCACTATGCCACCGGGCCAGCCCCCATCCTGTCTCTTTTGGCTTGTAAACCTTCAATGGCTACTCAGTGTGCACAAGAAAAGTTGGAATCTCCTTCGCCTGGCATTCAAGGCCCTGTAAAATTTGACCCTGGCCTACTTTTTAATTATGTGTTTGCTTCCCTTTGATAGGAATCTCCTTTCTTCAGCTGGTACTCTCATAATGGTTCATCACAGCAATCCAACATCATCTTCATCTCTGTTCAGGATAACTTCTCTTCCTCCTTTCTCACTCAACCCACATGTAATGTCTTCCCCAGGTGCCTTTGCTCATCCAAAGTTTTCCTAAAATTCAAGATCTAGCTCAAGTTACCCCACAATTTTCTCTCCTTCTTTTGAATCCATATAGCATTTGACACAGGAACCATTATTTGCCACAAAAATCTAGAGAGACATTGAGATCATGTAATCCAAACCCTTCATTTTCCATATAAGATCATTTCTTACCTTTGCTCTTATACGGTTCCCAACTTATATTTTTCATATGTCTCATAATAAATAATACAATCTCAGTAAATATTTTGTTAACTTATTAGGTGATACTTTAATAAATTTACCTTCCTCAAATGTATCAAAAATCAGCAGATAATCCCTTTGATGGAAGATGGTGAGAAGAGAAGCAGAGCACTTTGACAGCATCCCATAAAAATCACAGCAGTATAAAAATACTGTTTTTAATTACTAGCTAATTTTGGCAGACATGACTGATCCTCATCACATGAGGGAACTTCAGAGAGAGATGAGATTCTCAGAAGAGGAGAGCTCAGGGATGGGATAAGATGTCTGTTTCACATGTTGCTGGGTATTTTTTAAAAATCTGAGCGCATAACGATCTATTTGTTTGTGTTGAAGGTCATTTTGTTTTTGGCTGTGTCAAAATGAGACCCACAACAAAAGAGTCATGCCAAAATGCCATACACTTTCCAGAAGCCGGCCTGGTTTTAATTTTATTTATTTCTGGAGCATATGTCACCTGCATGTACAGTATAACTCAAAGGGCTTCCAGTATGCCTTTTACTCAAGCAACACCACATCTGATTCTCTATAAACCTTTTCTCGAGTAACATCTATAGATCACAAACAAAATGAATACATTTTTTTCGCATTTAACACCACCAAAACAACTGCAGATGTTATGGACAGTACAGTACTCGAGAGCACATTGTTATGAGGTACTTAAATACATTAAAAATTTTACCTTTCAAAAGTATTACCACTGTAAATCACTCTAATGTGAATTTAAGTGTCATGCTAACAAATACTACAAAGCAAGAATCTACCCTGGAACAAAAACTTAAGAGATACACAGTACTCTCAATTGAATTACATTTAATTGAAGTGATTTGTATATATTATTATGAGTATATTTCACAGATACGAGTAATAAAATGTGAAATTCCTACCTTGTGTCTGTTTCTTGTTCACTGCATTATCAGCTTTATGTCGTTTCTAAAGTTTAAAAGCAAAACAAAAACTGTGAAAAAGTGAATGAGATTAATAAAACTAAATAGCACCTATAACAAAAGAGATTTCTTTTAACTTTTGTTTTTCAAGGTTTTTATCCTTTCATACCCATAATCAATGTTATAAGAATGCCAGGGGTGGGGTGATGGGAGGAATCAGAAGGTACTCAGGAATTTTAAAACTGAAAGCAATCCACAGCATCTTTTATAGTATTCCTCTTCTGGGAGCCCAAGTGTGTGGTCCTCAGAAGGATTTTACATTATTATATAGGTAAGATTAAAATTGTAATGTATTAGAAAAGTTTGAGCTAAAAGGCTGATTTAGTCTTTTGCTTAAATAACTCACTTAAAAAAGATGATTACCGGGGCCGGCCCGGCGGCGCAAGCAGTTAAGTGCGTGCGCTCCGTTGCAGCGGCCCGGGGTTCGCCGGTTCAGATCCTGGGCGCGCACCGACGCACTGCTTGGCAAGCCATGCTGTGGTGGCGTCCCATATAAAGTGGAGGAAGATGGGCACGGATGTTAGCCCAGGGCCAGTCTTCCTCAGCAAAAAAAGAGGAGGATTGGCAGATGTTAGCACAGGGCTGATCTCCTTACCAAAAAAAAAAAAAAAATGATGATTACCCAAGAGGATTATCTATAATAACTCCCACTTAATAATGATACTGAATATTTCAACTTCTTATGAAATTCATTACCTAATTAAGCTGAGTACACCCTCTATAATTTAATGATGCGCTGATGTCTGTCAATGACTAGAACCAAATACATCTACCATCTGCATAAAGCCTCTTCTATCTACTGCTCCTCAACAGCTCCCCTCCCCCAAAATCACAAGCCACTAAATCACATGATCCTATTCTTGGTCCTCCCAAAATCACCAATAAAAATTAAATGGTAAACAGGTGAGTTAGTCTCAGTCTAGGTGGGTGAGTTTGAAGACTGACCTAAGCCAAGGTTTTATAGCAGTAAGAAAAAGAAACCGAAAGTCAGAGGAAAGGTGCGAGTTTGAGTGACCAGGGGAGACTCGCTCTTTTCTATGGTTCAACTAGAGGTTTTCCATGGCTTCTGTCTAAACTCACAGCATCGAGGATAAGACATCAGCCTCCAGTGACATTGGAGAAAAGTGTTGAGTGTAACTAACCCTGTGCTCAAAGAGTGTATTATGTGAAGCCCAAGGTGAGATTTAGCTCACATATCTGACTATAAGGTGGGTTGGAACCAATATAAAACAAATGAGTTCCTAAGTTTTCCATTTGAGAAGACACACGGTTTTTAGAAGCACAGTGCACAGATGAAAACACTCTCCAAGAGAAAAGCCTGGAGTTGCAGATTTGTACTTCTCCAAGACACAGCAGGGCTCAGGAGGAGTGGCATAATAGCTGGCAGTGTGGATTCAGTTCATCCGAACAATCAGCCACTGAACTGCACGAAATGCAAATAGAGCATTCAACATGCCTCTGTGGAAGGCTGGCTGAAAATGATTCTTGCCACATCCATATGCAGGAACACACTACAATTCTTTCTCAAAAGAAAATACTCGTTGATAGAAGTCAGTGAGTATTTTAAATAATAATGTAGACTTTTAATAGGAAAATGATTGCTTCTAAAAGTAAGCACATGATTTGCCAGCAAATATTCTTAAATGAATTTTTAAGTTCTGTTAAATTTGCAGCATCAGTAGAGAATATTTTATATTTGATAAAACTCTAAAATATTTACTTTTTTGTTTGTTAATAAAAATCTTAAGAAAAACAAAAAGTAACCCTAAATAAATTTTAGTCCAAAATAATGGTCCAAGGTAAAATCAGACATTCAAAGTAGGTGCAAATATTTCCAAAACAATGCACATTTATAACAGACTTTCAACTGAAGGAGACAAATAAAAGCTAATTAATGAAACATTCCACTTCAAACAGGAAATTTAATCTTAGTGAAACCTAAGGAGATCCTGAACATTCCTTTCCATCTACAGAGAATTCTTGTATAGGAGCATCTCTCTCCTCAATCTTCCCACCACAGAATAAATTAGGTTACTTGTCAAGAAACAACTGTGTTGAACATACATAAGGATCCACCCAGTTAGGCAGATTCTAATTCTATGACTACAAAAAGAAAGCATTTTTTCCTAAAGAGATAATTACTCCTTTTAAAACTAATAGTTCAGAAAAAATATAGTTATTCTGAGTTCAAATACCTCTACTGTCCTATAATCAGAATTCATTTACTATCACTGAAAGCTAGTGAATTATTTAATATTATCAATATTTAACTGGCAGTGCATCAATAAACTAGACTGCATATACAGTGCCATGAACTTTAGGACACTTAAGTATGCAATGTTGACCACTCCCTCCTTTTGAAAACTCCTCCTCCCTAGGCATTTCCTATCACATCATTGCCCAGGTGTTCCCCCTGCATCCTGGCTCCTTCTTCTTTGTTTCCTCGCTTGTTATTCAGTAATGGAATTCCTCAAGGCTTACTCCTTGGCGCTCTTCACTTCTCACTCTATACCCTCTCTTCCTAGCCCAACTCTTTCATACCTGCAGTTTCAATTATAACCGATAAATAAATATGTAACAGCCAAGACTCTCATCTAAACTCCAGACAGTTACATCTAGTTGCCTCCTTGACATCTCCCTCTGGTAGCCTCAAAGACATCTCAAACTATGTCTAAAAGGCAATCTATGACTTGAACCCCCAAGACTTGGTCCTTGTCTCAGGCATGGAAATATACATCATCCACTTGCACAAGCTAAGAATTTGAGAGTCATGCTTACATCTTCTCTCACTCCCATCCATTTCTTCATTCAATAAATGTTTACTAAACACTATGTGCCAGACCCTTTTACTATTGCTGAGGATACACAATGAACAAGAGACGAAACTTCTCGCTTTCATGGAGCTTACATTCTAGTGGTTGGAGATAGAATATGAACAAAAATAAGTAAGGTATGTAGCATGTCAGATGGTGTAAGTCTTGTCAATTTTACTCCTAAATATATATTGAATTCATTTTTCCATATTTCTTTATCTCTACAATACTATTTGGTCTAAAGTATCTTCATTTTTTGATACCAACTACTAGAATATTCTTCTAAGGAGTCTACACAAATCCTCTCTGTTTTCCTTCCAATCCATTGTCTATATTTTTGTCCAAAGGATCTTTGGATGACGACAATACAGTTAACATTTATTCATCACTTACTATACACTAGGTGCTGTTCCAAGGACTTCAGTGCATCATTTAATTCTCATAATAGCTGGTGTGGTTACTTTATTAATGTCTATCTCTTCTACTGGACTGTAAGCTCTATCATGGCTACTTTTACCTCTTAGCGTATTCCCAGTATTTGGTCTCTGAACACTGTAGACTTTAAAAAGCATTTGTTTTATAATGAATAAAGTTTATCAGTGTTTAAGTTAACAAGTGTATAGCAAAGAAGGTATGTTTTTAGTGGTGAATATTATCAACTGAACAGCCTTGACTCTTACTATAAGAATTGGCATTTGACAAGATGCAGCTTTAAAAAAAAAAAGAGTTCTCCATCAATTTTAGAGTAGTTTCATAGGAACTCATATTGTGTTAAGCCGTCCAAAGCATCAAGAATTAAAATGCACTAGAGTAGGTAATTCTTAGGTATCTCACCTGAAGGTAATTCTTACTGTTTTATTTATTTATTTTTTTACAGGTTTTGTTTGTTTGTTTGTTTTTGCCGGGGAAGATTTGCTCTGAGCTAACATCTGTTGCCAATCTTCCTCTCCTTCTTTTTTTTCGCTGCTCAAAGCCCCAGTGCATAGTTGTATATTCTAGTTGTAAGTCCTTCTAGTTCTTCTATGTGAGCCACTGCCACCACAGCATGGCTACTGACAGACAAGTGATGTGGTTCTGCGCCCGGGAACTGAACCTGGGCTGCCAAAGCGGAGTGTGTGGAACTTGAACCACTAAGCCATCAGGGCTGGCTCTGTAAAATTTTTTAAAATGTTAATAGAATATAAAGGGAGATTGACTAGAATGTAAGCTCTGTTTTATTCACTGATGTAACAGTGACAGACATTACTAGTCTTCCCCAATATCTAGTTCTCTATTTCCATGGACCCTGAGATTAAACCACCCTTTTGTCACACCACCAGTTCTAATATTGAGCTGTGAGCAGATGTGATGTGCATCATTACTGGACCAAAACATAGAAGAGAGACCTCCATTCTCTCTCTTCCTCTGCTCTGGTGACCACAAATATTCCACACAGCAGAGCCTTGATTCAGCTGCATCCCTGAGTTACTATACCAACAGTGGTGCTTCCTGCTGTTCCTTTCTCCCAGACAAAAACCTGCAGTGTCTTTGAGGATGTGAAAAATATACTTACGTTCAAGCCACGACATTTGGGATGTGATTATTATCATAGCAAAAGTTGAACACATCCTAATACATATCCTAATGGATGCCTGGAACCTAAGTACTGCTTCACATACTTTTGTTGAATGAATGAACGAATATATGTATTCATTATAATTACTGATAAAGATACTCTCTGTCCAACTAGCTAAACTATTATTTGATTTTTTCCCTTTTCTAGGGAGTAATATTTCAAACTTTCTATCACCTTATACGTTGATATAAACTTCTTCTTAAATCATTCTTACAGACCATTTTTAGCCAATTTCTTAACACTGATTTTACTGAAAAATGACTTCAGATATTATTATTACCCCACAATACGATTATTACATCCTTCAGGAACTGCCTGATTAGCTGCTTTCTAATAGTACCCAATTATTCCATCATACCAAAAAAAAAATTATTAGAAAAATGTTAGAAAAAAAATTCTTGGATATCATTTTATTTATCACGTATTTTCATAGAGAGGGCTACTAGAAACCATAGCTAGAGAGCTTATAGTTTTGCGAGGGAAAAGACATTAAAAAAAAGATAGGAGAAGTAGTTGAGAGCAGTGATCACAGGGCAAGACTCTGGAGCCAAAGTGCCTTGTTTGAATTCTGACAGCCACAGTTATTAGCTGTGTGACTGTGGGTGAGTTACCTTACCCCTCAGTGCTTTCCCTCTCTCACCTATAAAATGGAGATAATATCAATAATCCTTTAAAAGATTGTTATAAGATTTAGCAAACATAAAGGACGTGGAGCAAGTACATGGAACCCAGAAGCTCAATAAATGTTATTAATTTTATTGATGGTGACTTGTCACAATAATACAGAGGAAGAGAACTGGACAGAATAGGATTCTGATTCCATCGATGTCTTGGACAAGTTACATGACCTCTCTAAGCCTCAGCTTCCTTACCTTTAAAATGGGGTTAATATCAACTTTCAAAGTTACTTAAGGAACTAAATGAGAAAAAAAACTTGCAAAAACAATAGCATAATGTCTAGTAAATAACAGATGCTCAATGAAAATTAGGTTAAACAAAGAAAGAAAAAGGAGCACATAAGGCCAAGAAAGAGACAAAACTGTAGTCAAGACCAATCCTTATGGAATGACAAATCCAAGCACAATTTAAAGGATGGTAAGTCTGTGTGGAGCAATACAGGTGAGAAGAGAGTCCTGTAAATGTTCAGCTAGTGGTCCCCACCAAGTACATCATTTCCAGTCAAGAGGACTATGATTCACACACATGCACGCACACACGTACAACCTCTGTACGCTCAGACGCTTGGATGTTTTTGAGACTGATAATCTAAACAGTCAGTTGACCCATTTCTAATGGGTCTGCTGATGCCATGGCTCATGTGTTTTTAATGAGACCTCAGTCTGAATCTCTACAGAAATAATATTAATGTTTGTGCAACTTTAAATTGGAGCTTTCTAAAGAATATCTCAGCCTTTCCTCGCCTTACCATCTGACTTGCCTAAGGCTTGACAAAAGGTCATTTCAGACAGGCAAAGTACTTAAACAGCATAGAAAAAAAAAAATTGGCTTCCTCAACTAAGGTAGTTAAAAAAATGATAAAACAGAGGGGAAAAAAGCCTGAATTTATTTAGGGAACTTATTTTATAAAGGGGAAACTGACTTCTTTTCTCTACTACTACAGAATAATAAAAGTAGCAAATTTGCTGTTACTTTCTTTTAATAAATTAAGATGAAAGGAAACTTAGAACTACTAAAATAAGATGAAAAGGAATCAAAGGTATTTAGTAAGGTGAAAACTATGGTATACAAATTTAAAAATAAAAAAAACCAAAAAAACTCCTTTACATTTAGATAATTTGGAGGTTACTGTGTTTAACCTAATGTTCAAATTGAAAATTAAACATAACTGAAAATAACGTTCAAATACAGTTTTCTCTCCAACTAATTATTACATTCAAATTAATTTCTTTCATTAATAAACTACAAACTTAAGAGAACACTGTAAAAAGCATTCTGCAATATTAATCCTATAGAAATCAATAGGAATTAACTCCGGGGGGGGGGAGCATATTCTACATACACTTTTAAGTTGAATGGGCATTTTAAATGGCCTGTGACGAGAATTAAATAACTTCAAAAGAAACTAATATTTTTAAATACGTATATAAAAAATAAAAGTCTCTTTGATTATGAAAAAAATTAAATACTCACAATATCTTCTATTATCTCTTTGACAGCTGCCACAGCTAAAATAAATAGGAGAGGAACCAGTGTTGTGTAGCGACCTGTTGGTGATACATCAGGTATTTGCTATTTGAAGACAGGGAAAAAAAAAAAAAGGGAAGAGACATCCAGTGAGAACTTGAAAGTTTATAATATATTTAAAAACAATGAAGTCTTAGTGCCTCCTAAAATGTGCCTCGCTGATTTTACTATCTCAGCCGACTAGTGCCGGGTGGGGCAATTTGCTTGTATCTAATAAGTAGCTGGAAGAGAATATGTGAATTAGCTTGATGGCAAGCAGTTGTCTGTAGGTCTGACACCTACAAAGGAGGACTGGTTAAATAACTCATAGTATATCCATATATATCATACAACCATTAACAACCGTATTTTAAAAATACAATGAATCACGTGGGAAAATATTCACACATTATTATATGGCTAAAGCAGAATAAAATATATGTACTCTATGATCCCCTTTTGTAAACTAAATCAACAAACAATATTCGGCAGAAAAAGAAAAAAGACCAGAAGGATATACAACCAAATTTTAAGAGAGTAGTTGCCTGTGCATGGTACAATAATAAGAGTTTTAAACTTTTTTCTTGATGCTTTGTTGGGTTTTCTAATTCTTTTCACAATGAATCTATGCTACTTTTTGATAAAATGAAACATCTTTTTCCGATTACAACTAACTCAAATATAAAGAGAAACAAGATTTAAAATGGTAATTCTTTGATTCTAAGGTTCAGAATTGACAGCTTTCCTCTCACCAAAATAAGTTAATATTTTAAGAATAAGTCCCATCCCCCTTTACCACCCAAAATGAATAGTCCTTGCCACATAAAATCTACAAAATGTTTAAAATAAGCTGATAAAAATGAATCAAAAGGCTCGAAGAGGTACAGTCATGTGCCGTGTAATGACATTTCAGTCAATGACGGACCACATATACAATGGTGGTCCCATAAGATTAGTACCATATAGCCTAGGTGTTTGGTAGGCTGTACCATCTAGGTTTGTGTAAGTACACTCTGTGATGTTTGCACAAGGATGAAATTGCCTCACAACGCCTTTCTTAGAATGTATCCCCATTGTTAAGTGACCCACGACTAGTAGAATTCTGACACTGCTTTGTAGCAGGAGCTGGAAATGTCCACCCAAACCAGCTTACCTCTCTGCGTTTAGATGTTTCAGATGATTGGTCACAGGCTTAACAAAAACATTTATTAATATCTGAACGATTGACTTTGAACTAAGGTTTTACGACATGACTTTACCTGAAGCAGTGCAATAAAGAGAAAAAATGAATTAGCAGCTCTTCTGAACTGTGAGTAGAGAAATCTTGGAAGGAATGTGATTATGTTGTATTTTGCAGTGCTAGAAAACAAAAATGAAAGTAACATAAAACTTAATTACTCCAAAATTAGCACTCATGTTTACAAAATAATATTATCACCATATAAAAAATTAGATGAACATTTGCTGTTTCAAATTTAGACAATATTGCAAATGGTTATTAACCTAAATGAAAAGGAGTCAAAGGAACTGGTTAAATAATAAGAGTTTAATTTTCTGCATACTATCTTTGTTCTCTTTGGCCAGTCATCCTGTTTACCATTACTAGGAGTAGCTTACAAAGAGCAACTTAAATAGTTAAGATAGTGTGTAATACGTTAATAGAAAATAAAATCTTGCACAAAAAATTCAGCAATTTGAGCAGGACCAGAAACTTTAAATATAGTTGCCTTCCCTGGATAACTTCAGAGAAATGGGGAGTTTTCTGGCACTCTGTTTGAATTTTCTTCATGGCCCCTTTAGGAACTTGGCTAGGACTCCACACTACACACACCAGACATGTCCACAATCAGTAAGATATCACCATTTAGGTCTTGGAAACATCCAATCTTCCTCTCATTAATTAAATAGAAAGGAGATTGAAGGGACACATGCCACATTCCCCAAACTGAGAAAAGTTACTCTAGAATTTGAAGTTTTAAATATTAATTTTAAACGGGCATTTCTCAAATCTAGGAATTTTGCCACTGGAGAAACACTGGGCTAGCAGGAGAGTGTTCCCTTGGTTCCAGAGACCTCTTAGTGAACAGTGCTTGTAACAGCGATACTTTCTATATTATTGTTGGAATGAAAATATAACAGTAAAGTAATTCTCACAGCCCTCCATTCCTCAACACCATACTAAATTTTGCAACTACCAAAAGTCAATAAAGACTATTTAACAAAAAGGAGTTCTCAGCAAAGAATTGCAAAGACCTCTTCTAAAATGTTAAAACTTGTTAACCAGTAACAATAATTCATCATTCTATTAACAGGTTCAAGACAAAGGTTAAGACAAAGGCATTTACCCAGGAGCAGCTTTCACTATTCAGACACTATATTTAGAACTGGTAGAATACAGCTGCTCATCCTTTCCGCTCCTTCCTGCTTCCAGAGTCTTATTAACATCTCCTTATTTGCTAGAAGATGGAGAAACAGCCAATTCACACTACCTCCAGTAAGCTCTCAAATGTTAACTGATTTAACTGAAAGCTCTTTACAAGCACTTCCGTTTTGGCTAGGCAGGGGAGATGGCCTATCGGGTTCTGCTGGTCCCATGGCATTCTTTGGTAGTTCCTACCTGACATGGTTATTGCAAAATTTTGTCAGCTGAGGCTGGTTGATGAATATAGTCCGTTTTTCCTCCTGGTCAGCCAGTGAAGTCTTCTCGGAGACATCATCGGTCTTCTCATAACCTTAAAGAGAGAGAGTCTTCTTACTTGATAAGAAATGTTTCATTTCATTATCTAGACCAAAAACACATTTCATTACTATTCTAGAACCTAAAATCTGTTAAAAGCTACATGCTTCTGCCTTATTGGTGTCATTTCTTTTATAACAAAAAGAAAAATCCCACATCAAACACTTCTACTAAATTTAAAAGGTAGCGTTTAGTAGTCATGTAAAAACTGACCTATTTCAAAAACAGTAACATCAATTTTCAATTTTTACTCATCTTTTCCCCATAAATGTTCAACTTATTTCCTTCCATTACATAATAATATGTCCAAAAGTAACAAAATATTTAAAATGATTTACATTACAGTTTTAGACAAGACTAAGATGACAGAAGTAATTTAAAATAATATTTAAAAAATTTAGGGCTGGCCCCGTGGCTTAGCGGTTAAGTGCGTGCACTCCGCTGCTGGCGGCCCGGGGTTCGGATCCCGGGCGGGCACCGATGCACTGCTTCTCTGGCCACGATGAGGCCGCGTCCCACATACGGCAACTAGAAGGCTATGCAACTATGACATACAACCATCTACTGGGGCTTTGGGGGAAAAAAAATAAAATAAATAAAAATTAAAAAAAAACAAGAAAGAAACCGGCTTTTTAAAAAATAAAAAAATAAAAAATAAAAAAATCAAAAATTTAAGCATACACGTTTAATGTTTTTCTGTTTTTTCCTTTTTGGGTGACGACAGAAAAAGGATAAACATTAAGGTTTAAATAGGCAACCACCACAATTATCTAACTCACTATGATCATCTTAATGTTTCCACTAATTAGAATTTATGTTCACAATGAATTTTAAATTTCTTAAGATCATTTCAAATCATCTCACAATCATTGTAACAATGCAACAGATTCAGGCAATTTCAACTGGGAACACTTTGTTACAATGTCGACACCACATTTTAAAAATACATACAACTTCTGGAAGAACAGAGAAAACTTTAAACTACTTATTTTACCTTCTAGTGACAATTAAATGACACCAGATTAAATCAGTTATCCCTTATCCCTTTCCTAGAAAAGGTCACCAACAGTACTGTATCTCAAATTCCCATTTTTCTTCTTTTCTGCCTATCCACTGCCAACTCTTCCCATAAAACCTGGTGACATAGCGTCTCTTCTGAGGTATTCTATGACACCGAAGTCACTGAACCTTCTCTGTGTTGCCACACCCCTCTGCACCTCTCTTGTCCCCAGCAAAACACTTACCACAAAGTTTTGTTACTCTCTGCTTATTATGAGTCAGTGTTCCCCCATCAGAATGGGAGCTCTCTCGAGCCACAGACGGTGTGTTACTCATCTTTCTAACACCTGTACCAACAAACATCAGGTACTCAAACGTTTCCCGAATAAATACCAAACGACAAAGGAGTGGTTATTTGGCCGTCTTTTTGTGGGCAAAAAACTGCTCCTCCTCCCACTGATAAAGATACTAATGACAGCCACGTGCTGGTAACAAACTGTACAAGAAAAGCTTGCCTGTGGGGTTTTGTTGTTACATGAAGTCAGAAGATCATTAGGCTTTCTACAAAGGTGAGCATAGGGACTGGGGTGGGGGTGGGGGGATGAGAAACAGTGTAGTGCGTGCAGGGGAGTGCACACAGGGCAATACAGCTGACGCACAGGCAAAGGGCAAGGTAAAGACAGGTGAGATAGATACTGAGCGGAGAAAGCACACAGGCCGATCTTGGAGGACCTCGCATGCTTGTGAAGAAGTCTGGATCACATCCTCGCGTTGGCAGTGAGCCACAGAAAGCTTTCCAAGGAGAAGCACAAGGTGAGAGTCACATTTCATACTTTTATTACACATTTTATACATTTATACATCGCTCAGGAGGTCACATGGCTCCAAATTAAGTACTGTCATATCTATTTCACAGTTTTAGACACATCAGCAGCTTTGCCCACAGTCACATGGTGAATAATTATCTTTCATTACACCATGTTTTAGATACAACACAAGCTTTTCTCCCTAGTTTTATATAATCAAAATTTCACATATAGATTGCTATGACTGAATGTTTGCGTCTCCTCCAAAATTCCTATGTTGAAATCCTCTCCCGCAACGTGACGGCCTTAGGAGGTGAGGCTTTTGGGAGGTGATTAGGTCATAAGGGTAGAGCCCTTATGAAGCAATTAGCGCCCTTGTAAAAGAGACCCCTTCCCCTTCCACCATGTGAGGACACAGCAAGAAGATGGCCATCGGTAAACCAGGAAGCGAATCGTCACCATAAACCTAACCTGTCGGTGCCTTGATCTTGACTTCCCAGCTCCAGAATTGTGAGAAATAAATTTCTGTTGTGGGGGCCAGCCTAGTGGTATAGTGGTTAAGTTCACATGCTCCAGCTTCAGCGGCCCGGGGTTTGGGGGTTCGAATCCCAGGCATGGATCTACACACCGCTCATCAAGCCATGCTGTAGTGGCATCCCATATACAAAATAGAGGAAGACTGGCACAGATGTTAGCTCAGGGCCAATCTTCCTCAAGCAAAAGGAGGAAGACTGGCAACAGATGTTAGCTCAGGGCCAATCTTCCTTACCAAAAAATAAAAATAAATTTCTGTTGTTCATAAGCTGCCCACTCTATGGTATTTTGTTATAGCAGCCCAAACAGATTAAGACATGGATTATCAAATAGAGGCATATCAATCTTAAAAATTCTTAAAAATCTTTTATTAGATTTTTCCTTCAGGGCAGCACAAAGATCATGGTGTACTGTTTCTGGCACCTCAACTGGACAGAGAGCCTCAGGAAAACCAGCTCTCTACTCTGCTCTGAACTGATGTCCTCAGGTTGTACTTACTTTATGTAGCTGGACTTTGACCTGGGCCTTGGACGTTCTTAGCTGAGGAGTTAGGTGTCACTCCTCACCTGACATATCTATTTACAGTGGGGTCTCAAATGCTGCCAGGTGGAGTTGGACATCACATCTCCCCCTCACATACTAATTTGTACCCAAATATTTCTACAGAACAAAGGACTCTCCTGGGACAAAGCGATTGGAAGCAACCCTTTCCCTTAAATGGGAATCGGAGTAATTAAAGCAATCCTAATGGACTAGTAGGGCTCCAACTAAGGTCTGATAATAAGGGACCTCTAGAGAAAAAACTCACCAAAATGAGGGGGAAAGTCTAGACTGGTGTTCTCAAGAGTAAGGCCAGTGAAGGGACTGGATGGTTCTAGGCATAGAATATTGCTGATGCCTTAAGCTTTCTTCCCTCAGGCACCATGGAAAAGCCTTGGAAAGACGGTGCACAGGAAGCTGAGTCTATGGAGCAGAACCCGTGGGGCTTAGGCAGTGGGATGAGCAGCTGTGATACTGAAGGAGGGAGGGAGACCTGCACTGAGAGCAGGGAGTGAGGCACTCAGCCAATGGGAGCTGGTGGTCACCCCTGCTCTGTCTCCTCAGGGCTCCAGCGAGCTCAGCCACACAGGTTCCTCCATCAGCAGCGACAAAGAGACCCCACAAGTACCTGAGGGCCACTCCCAGGATAAGACCAGAGGTTGCAGATACCACCTTGTATATGCACCCGATTCCCTATTTACCCCTAGCAGGTGGCAGCAAGCTAGCAGTGAGCAGGCATAGCAACCTCAGAGATCCTCAGGAATATCTGAGTGAATGCACCTAACCCCAGAAGTCCTCACCAATACTCCATGAAGGCATCTGGGAAAAAGGGTGATAGTCTTACTAATTTGGAATGTGCGAGTTTGTAACTATTATAATTAGAATCCTCAATGAACTCTTACCTTACATTGCAAAAACAGGTAAGTTAGGTCTGGACATGTGGGTAACATATCAATCCAGACTCCCTCAGTGTAGAAGAGAAACACGACTCTTCTATTGGAATTAATGAACCAATGCTTTGAGAGAGGTGGGTAGCAATTTTGATCTCCTACTTCTTCTGGGTTAGAGGGGAAAACACATTCCCTACATTCAATTCAACAGCCACTCAATATGCAGACAACTCTATTTTTATGCTTTTTTTTTCTTTTTTAAATTTCCTCTGCAAATTGCCCCCTTCAACAGCTATGATGACTGCAAAAAGAGTTCTGTGTTCATATCTGGGCAATGCCTTCACTGAGATATTGATGCATAGTGGTGCAAAGGTAATCTAAGGGAGAATCCTCCCACCACTCTGCCCCAAAGAAGGTAAAACTTCAATGGCACAATTGCTATTCCTTCCCATATGTGGTCTATCCTTTGTTTTAAGGAGGGAAGCTATGTCCCTTAGGATTTGTTTAATAACTTAGAGGGCTTGTTCACATAAGTCATTAAAATTCATTAGCAGCTCTTAATCCACCTGTCTTGACTCCTAAGGGCTACTGAGAACCAAGCCAGCTTTTGCGTCATCCCCTTGCAGATGCAGTGGAGGAAGAGTGAGGCCGTGTATCTATTAACTGTTCTCGTGGAGTCTTCCTGGAAGGTCAGGCTTTTCCAGACTGCTTTGTCCTTAAGTTATGTGAAAAGCAAAGCTTGCCAAGAGAAAGAAACACATCTTCATCATGCTCTTCAGCATCTCCTGCAGCTTTTCCTAGCACAATAATTGCACACAGAAGGCACACAATGCTTGTGCATTCGTGGAAATGGACTCACAGGGGTTCGGCTGACCACCCTGGGATCCCCTCAGTGATCAGGGGTCAGTACTGAGATGGTCCAGAGTGAACTCTGAAGCCCATCTTGGAATACGTTCAAACCCCATATCAAGTATAGTCAAAGGGACAGTACCTGGTAAATGGCAAAGCCAAGAATAAAACATGACTTTAGGTAGTTAGTTACTCCTATTAGGCTTCAGTTTTCTAGTTGCTGAGACAGAAATATTGTATGAAATAGTTGGTATTAAATGGAAGAATTTATGCAAAGTACTTAACAAAATGCCTCATATTTAAGTACACAATAAATGCAAGCTATTATACTTGAAGAGTTAACAGGACTAAACAATGATAAATTCATATGTTGAGCC